TCGCTAGAGAGGTCCCAGATTACCTTGTTTGCCTCCATTTTGAGGCCTTTAACCTCTCCTCTGTGGACCCAAGGCTCTTGGATCAGCAGTATGCCCAGCTTCTCCACAGTGAAYCTGCTGGTTATAACGGCTGAGGCTGCAGCCGCGTGATGCAGGTTCACTTGGGCAACTTCCGTAGTGACGGCCATTACAAGATGGGTTCAAGGAAGGGCAGATCCTCTTCCCCTCCGTCCACCGTACTGCTGTCCATTGTCACCTAACCCTTCGAGGAACTCCTGCGTGGCGGGTAGCTCATCTGCGCGACCTCCTTTGGGGACGTCAGTAGTCGCCGAGGGCACTGCCTTCTCAGTCCTGCTTCCGCATGGCTGCTCCGACACCTCGTCCACCTGCATACCTAGTGCCTCTGGGCCTGCTCCAGGCCCTGTCGGTTTAGCAGCATCCTTGTTCTGGAGAGTTGCTGGCGTTGCTGCTCCCTTGCTCCCGGTGGCTGCAGGSCTGTTGGGCCGTATGACCACCGTGCTGAACCTGTARTACAGGCGGAAGCTCGCTGCCCGGACGTACCTGTACGACTCATCGTCGATGAACAGGTTGAGTCTCCATCCTCTCATACCTCCGATCTYCTCCATTTTGCTGCTCACGACGCGCCAGGACGAGATGCTGAGTCCCCGGTTCTGGCTTTTCACCAGCCCCAAGGCGAACTCATAGGGCTTGTCCCCGCACCGAGGGAGGAATATCGTCATGCTGTGCATGATTGGCAAATCTTCCGCCCTCTTCGCGCAAAGGACGGGACCCTTCCAGCCTCCGAGCTTTGGAGCGTACTCCTTCAGCCAGTCGGCGGATGTCTCATCCACGCAATCTACTTGCAACATTTTTCCTCTAAATTCTACTCCCAGGAAGGACGCCGCATAGTCCTCCCCTCTGAACACCTCCTCCATGAGGAGATCCTGGAGCACCGTGAGCTCCTCCGGTGTAAGCGACTCCACCGGGTAGCTGAGAGGCAGTACAGCCATGCGAATGCCTTTTACAGCGTCCGCATAGTGGAACCGCTTATCCCTTTCCTGCGTCGATCATCGCATCCACCGGGTTGACCGGCTTCTGGGAGGGGGCGTTGCCCACCTCTTCCGCGCCTTCTCCTTTTCCTCTTACGACCACCACTGGGCCCTGCCCGATGAGGCTCACCTGAGTCCGACCCGCTACACCTTTCGGCGGGGGTCTTGATGGCACTTGTTGCTGCTACGGCTCTACCCGGCGTTCCCCCCAGGCGAGCGCCGCTGCAAGAGGGCACATTGTCATCCTCCCTAGCGTGCTCCTCAAACAGCGCCCGTTCTTCTGGCGAGAGAGCGTCGAGGAAGCTAATTTTCCGTCTAGCTCCTTATCCTTCCCTTTTATCGATGCCGCCGATATATGACCACTAAAGCATATACGAATTACATACAAAATGAACGATGGGAATCAATCAATTGCTTGCACCGATTGTTGTAAAAGGAAGTGGTGCAATCTCCTAAATGCTGTCATTCAAACTGAACGTTTGGGATCAAGTGCTTTTATTGAAAATTTTTGCATTTGCAAATTTGGTAACGACTATTGTCCAATGATGCAATCCGCTCAGGATTTGTTCAGATCGGTTCGCTATAGCTGCTTCACAAACTGTCCGGTCAAAATCAAGTTCTTGTAAAGTATTTTTTGTATTTATGACTCCTCCGTGCAACCTAAGGTAACGTATTTTTTGTATTTGTTCAAGATAATTGAACAAAAAATGTATTAAAAATTGTTTCGTTGTAACACCAATAAATACTGTATACAACCACAATATAGTGTATACAACCACTAGTTTGATAATGTATATGTTAAGTGTGCGGTTCTAGGGAAAGTATTGAATGCTTTCTTTCACAAGAGCATATTTGTACAGGGTTTATCTGGAAAGTGATAGAACTGATTTTCTTCGATTTGTGATTGTACTTCGGAGCGTGCGCGCACCACTGGATTCGGTAGAGGTCGTTCCTAGCCAACGAACGAGAGGCTGGTCAGTTGTCTCCTAGCACCTGGAGAGTCGGGACAAACATCTTCCCTCGACGCATTTCTGTAAATGATGCTAGCGGAAAATGCAGTGTTCGTTAAAGCAGAGGTACGCGATTAAATTATTTGTGAAACTCCGTAAATCTACGACAAAGACGTTCGATATGTTCAAGCAGATATACCCAGATGTTGCTTTAGGAAGAAGTGGTGTGTTTCGGTGGCATCAGGCGTTTTTGGAGGACCGTAAAGAGGTCGCTGATGAAGACCGTGATGGGAGACCTGCAACTTCGACAAACACCGAGAATATGACTCATGTGCGCAAAGTTTTGAACTCAGACCGTCGACCAAGTATTCATTTATTTTCCCAGATATTAAATTTATCAATATTAGCAAAATTTACAAATTTCTAAAGGGCACAGACCTACTCCGTCGTATCTGACCCAACCAGCCAGCCGAAAGCCTCTGCTGCTAGCGCTGCGTTTGCTTTAGTTTATGTAATAATTAATTATTATGTAAGCTTTGTATAAATATATAAATAAAATAAATAAATAAATTTACAAAAATCTGTAGTTCATGACATTGTGACGAAACACTTGAATATGCGCAAGGTGTGCGCGAAGATGGTCCCAAAAGTGCTCACTGATGATCAGAAATTGCGTCTACTGAAAGTGCCAAGAAAATGAACAGGTGTGAAAATAATCCCCAATATTTGAACAACGTAACAGGTGATGGTAATGGATCCTTGAATATGATCCCGAAAATACCGATGAAAGGCAAGCATTTTGAGACGACAGAGGGGATCCAAGCAGCATGCACCTCGGCTCTCAAGGCTGTTAGCAGAATGCCTTCTGTGACGCCTTCAATGCTTGCAAATCGCGCTGGCAACACTGCACCATCGACGCAGAAGGAGCCTATTTAGAAGATTTTTACACATTTTTTTTAATTGACCCAGTGTTATTATTTTTCGGACAAACCCTGTATTATACTCGTACTAAATCTTCTTGTTTAAAAAACGTTTCTATGTAATTTAAATATAATATAAACATAATATAAACACATAAAAATATGCAAAATAGTTAAAAATTGATATACCGTCTATTTTTTCTAGATTGAGAGGAACGAAATATACAATCAGCCGTTCAAAATGAATCCTCAAGTTACTCTTCATTTGATTAGAGTCTTGGAAAAAACTGTTTCGCCAGGTATGTAAAMTCCAAGGTTAATGGAATATATCAATCTTCTATTACGTAACAAAACCCGATGGTAAAGATTTTAAAACTTGTGAGGCATTACTTCTAAATATGGTATACTCTAGGGGCCACATAATTAAGGGCAAATTATAGTAAAATAAAGTTCGCTCGGTTTTAACGTTTTGAAAGCATTGAAATTTCGCCTAGAGATCCACTTTAAACTGCATATTATAAGGTCTACAATTTTGCGTCCGCCGTTTTCCAATAGATGCCTCTAGGGTCAAGCACTGGTCGATTATATCGTTTTATATCGATCTTCGACATTTGTGTCAACATTAACAAAACAAAATATTTGTCGAGATCTGTTTGCATCCCAAACCTATTCTCACTTTTCTCGACATTTGCGAAAATTTGGTTTTCTTTTTTAATTCCAAGAAAATTGTGGCCGAGGTCCACGCTTTACTGAGGCTTGCACATACATAGATAATAGTATTACTCTACTACTACCATCTATATGATATCTATTAGGTATTAAAAAATATAGAATTTTTGTAAAGCAACTTGTGTTAGTTTACGAAAAAATGGATCACAAAACATTGGACCGTTTTTATACAATAAAGCCTTAAATTTACAAAAAAAAAAAAAAACGGTAGACCAATATATTGTAACTGTGCATTCAAACTTTAACTGAAATTCTGTTGTTTACTGTCTTTATTGTATTTTATTGATTGTAATTTTTTTGATGGAATTTTTAACATTCGGTTTTTTTACGACTTGAGATATGTATGATATACCCCTATGGTAAAAAATAATTCTTACAATTTTCAAACTTACAAGACGCGTAAGTTAGTTTTCTCAATATCTGCAAWTATTTCGGCGTCAGCCACGAGTGCACTTGTTAATCACACACCCTTTTGTACCGTGCGTGAGCAAAAAGGTAAGTTAACTATTTCGGTTTTTATTTATATATATATTTTTTTCGGTGTTTGCTGACATAATGTCTTCGGATTCATACAGTGAATGCTTACCTTTCTCGGAGTTGCAACAAGATGCTCGTTTTGTCCTATATTAAAATATAAGAAGACTAGGCACATTTCTAAAAAATGTTAATCTCTTGTATATTCATTAAATATTAAAATTGAATTAGCAAAATGTTTAGACATGGGTTGTAAAAAGGGTTGTACTCCAGAATTGTGGAAAATTATTATTTACAAATACGTGAGGGTAAAAAAGCAGGGATAAAAGATAACTTATATTGCATAATTTTTGACAAAACAACAGGTATAACTGAACACTTCATACTCTTGCAACTTGCAAAACTCAAAGCCAGGTAAGTACTTTAAAGTGTGAAACCAATCATATAGAGTAAATTCAGCCGGATGTTCGAAAATCGTTACATTAGTTTAGGGGCTAGGCCAAGTTTTAGCTCAAATTTATCTATTTTAGGCACAAAGATACACTGTTATGAATAAAACACTCTCTCTTATCTTCATTGGGATAATATCACACATGGTCTAAATATTCGGTATCTAGGGGCCTGAAATGTTTTTGTTGAACTTAAACAATTCTTTTTCGTGCAAAGTTTTAACTCGTTATATTAATTTTTTCTAGATTTGTGTACTGGAAACTGAACGAATCAAGTGGAATTTAAAATTGTACTATAACTAATAAGAATGTAGGAAGAATGCCGCATACTAAATTTTGTCGAACTCGAGTGTTCAGGTCCCGAGATATGGGATTTCGCAAAAAATTGGGCAATGTCACGCCCATTGTCAAATTTTCATTTCATTTATATATAATATATAATCCTATATCTATCTCGATTAGTTGAAGGTGATACGTACAACCGCTAGGTGAACAAAACTATAATATTCTATAGCGTTTTGAGCCGATTCCCACGACAGACGGTTCTACGGTACCGGAATTGACTCGGATTTCATCCGACCAAGAGCTGTTCTTTCGGCGATCTAACCCCGTTTGGATCGGTGAGTGTTAATTTGTGTGTGTCGTCACTGGAGCAACGCCTTGCAGCAGGGTTGCTCCGTATCCWCCTGACTCGTGCTGGCATTGAGTCCAACCCGGGCCCTGAGGAATTCTTCTGCTGCGCTTGCGTGAAAAGGCTCCATCCAAACTCCACCTCGGTCAGGTGCAACACATGCAATGGATGGAGCCATTTTAARACCTGTTCAGGCCTGTTCAGGCCTTAAGACCCCAGGTGCAGGTTTCAACGTTATACGTTATACGTAAAGATCGCGAGCGAGATAATGGTGGTGGCCTAGCCTTCATATTGCATAACACCGTGCAGTATGGTCTAATCGATGAAGACATCGACACTAACCTATAATGTCAGGGCATAGCTGTCCGGTCAGGCGATGTCGAGCTCGAAATATTTAATATATRCATCCCCCCAGTTACATGTTGCCCTACAGGATATCACCCGAATATAGGTGCGCTACTTCGTGGTGAAAACCGTTTGGTGCTAGGCGACTCTAACGCGCACCACGATCTTTGGCATTCCTGACTGTCAAATGACCGTAGGGGGATGGAGCTGGCGGAACAGACTGACGATTCGACATTCTGCACAATGAATGACCACCACCAGAGTTATGGGCACTTGTAGTAGCTCGCCCGATATTACAATCGCTAGTGGTGGTAGTGGTGCTTGGAAACATCCCCGAAAGGGTTGAGGCTGATCGACTTCGCCGGGGCCCGAAACATGGTTATCTGTAGTACTAGATTCCAGCATAAGAAGATTCATCAAGCTAACTGGCAGTCTCCGGATCGAAAAACCACCAACCAGATCGATCATGTTGTGATAGACCGAAGACAAGTCTCCAGTGTCTCAGATATGCGTGCACTGCGAGGTCCTAACATCGACTTGGACCACTATCTTGTTACAGCCAAGATTCACACGAGCTTCTGTGAAGCAAAGCATGCAGCAAAAAACGCGCGCTATCAAACACAAAAAAGGTTCGACATCGAGAAGCTGCAATCACAACAGACAGCCGAACGATTTTCTACTCGGCTTGCACTCCTGCTCTGAGAGGGCACTCGTCAACAACTCGGTATAAGGGAACTGTGGGACGGCATTTCAAACTCTTTACGTACAGCCGCAACCCAAACCATTGGTTTTCGGAAAGCACAAAGGAACAGGTGGTACGACGAGGAGTGCCGTGTCGCAGCGTAGAGAAAACAGGCTGCCTACCTCGCAGCGTTAAGATAGATACCGAGAGCTGAAGAGGTAAGCGAGACGCATTTGCAGACAGAAAAAAAGAGGCCGAAATGCGTGAGTATGAAGACCTTGATAAGCTGGCCGATAGGGGTAATGCTCGAAAATTCTACGAAAAAATGCGGCCGCTTACAAAAGGTTTCAAGACCGGAGCATACTCTTGTAGAACCCCCAAAGGTGATCTAGTCACCGATGCCCCGAACATACTTAAATTATGGAGGTAACACTTCTCCAGCGTGCTGAATGGCAGTGAACGCACAACGCCAGGAGAAGGCGAACCCGATGCCCCAATCGACCGATTTCGTTCCTGTGGACAACCGCACCTTCGTGAACTTCAACAAAACTAACTGGGTCGGCTTCACAGAATTTAGTTAGAGCACCTTCAACGCTCCTATGATCGCAGCAGCTACCGCTGGCTTCATACCAGCTGGACGAATAGCGGAAATCCGCCCCAACTTCCCAGCCGAAGYAGCCGTTTTAGCTAATGAGCGCGACACCTTACGCCATGCCGATCCCGGGGATCCCCGAATAAGGGATCTCAATTTGGAGATWCGGCGTATGGTAAACCAGCGTAAGCGGACGAAATGGATAGCGCACCTGAAGTCCTGCAACCTCTCCACCGGTGTGAGTAAGCTTTGGGCTACTRTCAAAGCTTTGTCCAACCCGAAGAGTCACGACGACCGAGTTGAAGTTCAATTCAATGGTCATGCCTCTTCGGACCCGAAGAAGTGCGCGAGCATTTTAGCCGGCAGTTTACACTGCACCCTTCGGTAGACAATGCCAAACGACGGCGCGCCACTTACTTTCACTGATGAAGAGGTTCAGGGTGTCATCAACAAAGCTAAATCTCTCATCATCAAAAATGGAATCAACATGCTAATGCTAAAGCATCTAGGCTCGACGGGAGTAAAATATCTCACCAAGGTCCTCAACCTGTCGCTAACCTCTCTCAATACCCGATGTGTGGAAAGTTGGAAGAGTGGTCCCACTACTGAAACCTGGGAAACCCGCCAACAAATGGAATSTTATCGCCCGATAACTCTCCTCTCCCCAGTAGTGAAGACACTTGAATCCTTGTTACTCCCGACCTTTACTCACCACCTGAGCCTAGCCAGCCACCAGCATGGATTACGTAAAATGCACAGTACCACCACAGCACTTAGAGTCATAAATGCTCARATAGTTCGTGGCCTCAACCAGAAACCACCCTGTGAGAGAACGATCCTCGTAGCGTTGGACCTGTCAAAAGCTTTTCACACGGTCCATCACACAACGCTACTGCAGGACATTGAGAAAGCCACGCTTCCTCCAGGGCTCAAGAGGTGGACCATGAACTATCTGAACGGTCGCCAATCATCCGTACTATTTCGAGGCGCAACATCTAAATTGAGAAGAATTAAACAGGGGGTTCCGCAGGGTGRTGTCCTCTCCCCGTTACTGTTTAACTTCTACATCTCGAAACTTCCGCAACCACCAGAGACGGTTTCCATAACCTCGTACGCTGATCACTGTACGATATTGACRTCGGGCAATGGAATCGATGGCATGTGTTCGAAGGTAAACAACTACCTCTCCGACCTTTCTCGTTTCCTCACTGCACGGAACCTCCAATTTTCCCCTAAAAAATTCACAGCGACCATATTCACGAACTGGACGAAGGAGTATAGACTGGGACTTAATATTGCAGTCGATGGCGTCAAAATTCCGACTGTCAATAACCTTAAGATTTTAGGKGKCAYCTTCGACAGTCTATGCTCCTTCTCTCCACATACGACCGCGATTA